CATTATTTCTTCTAAAGGAGTTGCTACAGACCCCTCTAAAGTGGAGGCAATAAAAATTGGAAGCTTACAAAAAAATTAAATCATTGTGTGGATTTTTGGGGTTGACTGGATACTATAGAAAATTTATTAAAAAAATATGGCGAGCTTAGCTGACCTCTCACCAATATGCTAAAAAAGGAAAATTTTACTTGGTCTGCAGCTACTAAGGAATCTTTTGAATTATTGAAGGATGCTATGTGCAAAGCCCCTGTCTAGCTTTACTGGATTTTTAGAAAAGTTTTGTTTAAAGACTGACGCGAGTTCTCATGGGATAGGGGTTGTCTTAACTCAAGAAGGCTTCCCTATGGCCTATCTTAGTAAAGCACTAGGAGTTCGACATGCAGATATGTCCATCTATGAGAACGAATAGTTGGCCATTTTGATGGTTGTTACAAAATAGAGACATTATTGGAAGCTCGGCCATTTATTATAAAAAATGACCATGAGCCACTCAAACTTTATTGGAGCAGAAATTAACAACGACTATCTAGAAACTCGACCTTACTAAACTGCTTAGACTAGACTATACAATTAAATTCAGGAAAGGAAGTTCAAACAAGTGGTTGATGCTTTATCGAGATGTTATGAAGAGGAATCTGAACTTCATACTCTCATTGCCACTATGATTACGCTTGATAGGGTGCAATAAATTGAAGCTACCTATGTTGATGATACTTTGGCTAAAAAGGTTATTACAACCCTGTTAATACAAACTATAGGACCTGAACAATGGTTATATATTTGAGGAGTGCTCCGATTTCGGGGGAAAGTATATGTTGGGTCTGCTAGTACATTGAGGCAAGAATTACTTAGAAGCTTTCATGATTCTCCCTTAGGTGGAAATTCGGGTGGTCAAGCTACTTACCATCGTATCAAAGGTTATTTTTATTGGCCTGGGCTAAAATCTATGATTCTTACTCACGTGCAACAATGTGATATCTGCCAACGAACGAAAAGTGACCATATTTCTCCACCACGTCTGTTGCAACCCCTCTCTATTCCTACTCAAGCTTGGACTGTTATTATGGACTTATTGAAGGGCTTCCTACTTCATCTAAGTTCAATATGATTCTAGTGGTTGTTGATAAATTCACTAAGTATAGTCACTTTATATCCCTTTTCTCATCCATATACTGCTGTGGAAGTGGCTCGAAAATTTTTAGATAACATTTATCGACTTCATGGTTAACCCCAAATTACAATATCAGACAGGGACAAAATCTTTACAAGCTTGTTTTGGAAATAGTTTCTAAAATAATTGGGGATATCTACCCTATTCAATACCACTTTCCATCCGGAAATAGATGGCCAAACGAAGAGAGTTAATCAGTGCTTGGAGCAATACCTACGTAGCGTATGTTTTTTTAAGCATAAAGATTGGGCGAAGTTGCTACCTCAGGTCGAGTGGTGGTACAACACCAAGTTCCACACTGTCATCGGCACCACACTAGTTTCCACACTGCCATCGGCACCACACCCATTTCAAGCATATCGCTATGAAGCCCCCATTATTACAATAGCAGCCCACTACTTAAGCAATCAGTTCAGGAGATCATGCAACACATAACAAAATTGAATAGAATTCTAAAAGAGAATTTACTACTAGCTAAGAATAGAATGAAACAGTAGGAAGATCAACATCACACTGAACGAGAATTCAATGTGGGAGATGATGTTACCTGAAATTACAATCATATCAGCAAACTTCGTTGGCCTTGAGAAAGAACTTGAAGTTTTCTGCCAAGTATTTCAGTCCTTACAAAATCATTGAAAATATTGGATTAGTAGCCTACAAGCTTCATTTTCCACCACGATCCAAAATTCACCCAGTTTTTCACGTGAGTTTATTAAAGAAACAGATTGGGTCAAATGTGCTTACCTCTCTCGATCCTCCAGAGGTAGGAGATGACAGACAATTGAAAATGTACCCAACTATTATTCTTAACAAGCGGAGTATGAAGCGTCAAAATCGGCTAGTTACTCAACTTTTTATTCAATGGTTGAATTTGTCATCAGAGAACGTCACTTGGGAGGATTATTCCGCCTTGAAGTCTCAATTTCCTGATTTCGATCCTTGGGGTCAAGAATCTACTGTAGGGGAGGGTAATGTCATGGTTAGAACAGAGAAACCAAAGATGAAAGGGGAATTAGGGATGAGTACGATGAAATTAGGGCTGAAAGAGGCGAAATTAGAGAATTAGGGATTAAAGAATCGACTGAAGAAATGTGGAGCCAAAACGGCAAAGGAATTGGCGTTGAAGAAACAGAGAATCAAAACGGCAAGAGAAATGGTGTTGAGGAAATGGGCTCAAAGCAAGATGGTACATTGGAGTAATTGAGGTTGATCGGTTGGGCAAGTAAATTCAATTCAACTGAAAGAAGTAACGGCAATAGTACATTGTACAACATAAAAACAGAATGGATTGTACTGGAAATCTAAGAAAAATCTAATGAAATTCTGAATTCCTTTTTCCTTCTTCTTCTAATTTCTCAATCCTTTATACCCTAAACATAACAAGTCACAACCTATAATATTAAAAATACGTTAATATTTTCGGTCACATATAATTTATTTTGTTATGTTCCTTATCAAATTTCTAGTCGATCCCTTATCCGTTATTTTTAATTTTAAATTAAATTGATGCATTCCCAAAATTTTATCATTTAAATTATAGTATTTTAAAATGTTATATTTTTATAAAATATAATTTTAGAATTTTTTTATTATATATTTAAACGTAATTTTTTATTAGAGAAGTTCTTCATATGTTTCATTCCAGTATCTAAAAAATATAGTAAACGAAAAAAAAGAACAAATTACGCCTCCATCTTTGCCCTCAAAGAAACTAAAACAAAACACTAATTACAGAAATCGCGACATTTCTTTCTTTGTTTCTTCGTTACTGTTCTCTTCTGTTCCAGTTTTTGTTTTCCCCCTTCGTTTTACTGAAAATTTCGGTCGTTGTTTACTGATTATTATTATTTGTAATTTCCTCTTTATTTTCTGGTAAAATAGACGCTGGATTTTAATTACTAGGGAACGCTAAACGGTGCTATAGCCTGGAATTGAACCGGTGACTAGGGTTAGTTCTCTCCGTTTTATTTCATCTGTCCTCTTTGTCAGACCCTAGAACAATGTTTCCCCGTATATTTTGTAGTCATTTGGGTTCGAACCCTAGCAGTTGGGAACTTATTATCAAAATTAAATATAGGGTTTTAGTTTTACTCCAAAAATTATTATTTAGGGTTAGTTTTTCTAATTTACTGGTGTATGGGCGTTAGCATTATTCTGAAATTGTCCTTGGTTCCTTTTTTAGTTGGCATAAGTTGTTTATTTGAAAAGAGGATTGGATCTTTTATGTATGGGAAACATGAGGTTCATATGATATTGGAAAATCAACAATCTGCAATTCCATCTTTAATTAAAGATGGAAGACTAGGGACTGAGTAAATTAAATAATCTTCTTATCGCCATTGCCTTTGTGATGGTTGTTATGGCCCGTATTCATGTTAAAGAAATTGTTCGTTTTGATCAAACAATTCCTTTTTTTCATTTGTTGAATGACAACTTAAAACTATAGATTTTTGGCAACCTTGGTTATGGTTGCTTGAATGACAGAGGATAAGGTAACAGTTTGAGATATTGTAGGAAAAAAATAATTTGGTGGGTTAGGATTTGAATAAGGTTGCAAAAGTTTTCCTTAAAAAAGAAAAGAAAAGAATTATTTTCTGGTGATCATGTTTGATATCCCTTGAAATGACCATCCAGCTCAGTTGGTAGAGCACAAGGTTCTAAACCTTGAGGTCGTGGGATCAAGTCCCACGGAGGGCATTTCATAATTTGGAGGTCTCCTACGGAAGCTGCTCTCAACCTGGTGTGGGGCAGTCTACTATCTTACCCCTTATCCCATACATATGGGAAAAAAGGGACACCATTTTTTTTTTATGTTTGATATCCCTTATGGAAAGAAGTGAACCAACATTTGTTCCAGAATGGTTGAAAAGTTCTGGCACTGTTACTGGGGTGGTGGCAATTCAGTCCACCACTTTGCTTCCTCTTCTTTTCACTCAGGTACCCTTTGTCACACTACCTTTTAAATACCCATTGCATTTCTCACTTCAGTTGTACTTCATTACAATGTTACTCTTCGGCATGATCTGTTTGTTAGATACACCTTTGGTATGACTTTTTGCTTCATGACCATTTTGTTTCTCATTGCGTTTACATGGCGACATTTTGTACTTGTAATTGTATGAAAGTTGTATTAATTTTTGGAACATATAATAATTGTATTCTTTTTGTTATATTATGTTTCTTCAGTGATGCATCATGGAAGGCAGGAAAACTATAGTAATACAAGTGATTTTGATTCCCCACGTCATGCATTTTTGGATCGGACATCATCGTTGAATTCACGGAGGAGTTCTAGTAATGGTTCTGCAAAGCATGTTACAGTAGCTTTAGTAGGAGTCACCGCAATAAAGACCGAGAAAGGGATAAAAGAGAGGTCAAGTTTGTGGACCATTGGGAGCGTGATTCTGCTGATCCTTTAGGCAGTATCTTAACCAGTCGGATTGAGAAATTAGGTGTCGCTACGAGTAGGGTTGAGATGGTTGCATTGCCACGTTCTCATTCTATGATCTCTAGGAAACAGGGTGAGGCTGTACCTCGAAGGGTTGCAGTGAGCTCAAGAGATAATGGTAATAGTAAAAACAACGATGGCAATGATTTGCTTCCTGGGGTACTAATGGAAGTAGCATCGACAAGGCTGTGTTTGAGAAAGATTTTCCTCATTTGGTACTGAGAGAGACAAGTTGTGCCTCAAATAGCTAGAGTTTCTTCCTGGTTGAGTTTGCTGTTGGCAATTCATCTTTTGGTGGGGAAGGATGGACCTCAACTTTGGCAGAAATGCCCACTCTGGTGGAAGTAGTAGCACAGGTTCTATGTCTGCACCTAACTGTTTCTACCTCTGGTTCTGGGGGATCCAAGTGCCACAGTGGGTCTTATATGGCTGAAGCACTAGTACAGCTCCTTACGAACTCGTACTGCTCCCAGGTAAGTGTCTCAGTCACGAGCTTTCATTACATGTATAACTTGTATCTGTGATTTAACTAGATATTCCTATTTGATACAGCTATCTGTCAAGACTCAAAGACGTGAGGAACTGGCTATTAAGCAATCAAAGCAACTGATACCAGTGACACCTACGATGCCTAAGGGTTCGGTAAGGCAATCACCCTAGGTTTCATAAGTATTCTCTATTAGCTGCATTAAGTTCATAGTTTAGTCCTTTTAAACAAGTGTAGCTCCTTCCCTCTTCCTCGTGCCTCTTGTGCATCATCTTTATTCATCTGAAACTGTATGGATGATCATTAAAAGTTGTCATTATCTTGGAAAATTTTTGTAGGTAGGTTCAGCTAAATGTTGTCTTACCTGTCAATTGCAGTCTTAACAAACCAGGTAATGGTACTTGATTTTGTTGTCCCAGGTTCTCAATTCAGGGATAAATCAAAAATCAAACAGCACTCAGAGCAAGTGAGATGAATATAGCTGTCAAGAATGGCAAGCAGCAACCTTCTTTGATTCATCATGGTACTCAATCTACTCATGGTGGACATGTCAAGTCAGATACGCCAAAGACATCTGGGACGCTTTGGTTCTCAAACCAGGATGGGAAAATGGGGTCTCCCTGCACAAAAAGATGTAGCCACTCCAACAACAAATGTCACAGCAAAGTTACAACAAGCCAACATGCTGTTGCTGCTGTTACATCTGCTCCTGCAAGAAACTCAAACAGCCCAAAGCATTTTACCGGGGAACACAAAGCAGCTGCCTTGAATCCAATAGCTGGATTCACTATGGAAAAGAGACCCTCTTTGGCTCAAACCAAGAGTCGAAATGATTTCTTTAATCTCCTGAAGAAGAAGACGTCACAAACACTTCTGCTTCCTGAAGAAGAAGACGTCAACAAACACTTCTGCTGGCCTCTCAGATTCAAACCCTCATATTTCATCCCACAGAAAACATGAAGTTACAAAGGAAGTAGGCAGTGCTTCCCCACCTGCTCTTGCCAATGAGAATGGTTCTGCAGCAACTAGCAATGGTGGCACCTGTGAAGAGGCTCAAAGATTTTCTGATGATGGTGAAAATAATATGAACTCCTTTTTTCATGTTTATCCAGACGAGGAAGAGGCAGCATTTCTTCATTCTCTTGGTTGGGAAGAGAACTCCGGTGATGATGAAGGTCTTACAGAAGAGGAGATCAACGCATTTTATCAGGAGGTAAGTTATACATTTTGTTTTTGTAGTTATACTTTCCCTTTTACTGATAACAAATTCGTTTAATATTTTTTTGTTGGAAGTCATTCTATGACTTGATTCCTAGTATTAGTGTTTCTAATGTTGAGTTGTCCCTGCTCTATGTTTTTTGTCTGCAATGCATAGCCACTTAGTATCTTGCTGCTTGTTTAAAAGTGTGTAAAAAGGTGATGTAATTTAAGAACTCTTGTAAGATAATTTCTAATGGTCTTTGCTCTTTTGTTTATTGATTTGTTTTGCAGTACATGAAACTGAGACCGACTCTGAAAGTGCACAATAGCGTGCAACCAAAGCCGGTTCAATCAATTGCATCTAATTTAGATGGAGATCTTCGGAATTGAGTTCGTCTGACTCTGAATCTGAAGAAGCTTGACTCTTCTAAGCCCTTGCATAGTGGAATACAAAGGAGTTCCAATTTTTGATGGCAGATGATTAGATTTTCCTTTTTTTGATGTCTTCTGTTTGAAAGGAAGCTGATGAGTTGAGTTGGTATGGAGAGGTGGTGGGCTTAGGGTTTTGAGGGAGGGTGCATTTTGCAATAGTACAATAAGTCCTGCTCACTTGTAACAAGAGAAATTTTTAGGGTTTTTCTAATGTGTTGGATTTGGGGGGTGGATGTTGGATTTGGGGGTGGATGTTGGATTTGGGGCTATTTTGTCTTGTGCAGTGGGAAGATGATGCTGAAAAGGAAGTTGCATCTTTTAGGGATATATTCTTCTTTTCCTTTCAAGATGGTTCAATTTTACAAGAAAAATATCATTGTTGTTTTTGACCCATTGTTTGGAAATGAAATAAAAAAAGTTCCATTTCAAGATTAGCTCAAATTTCCTTACTTTTTGTGTTGTTGTTGTTGCAATCTGCACAGCTTAACTTGTAATTAAGTTAGAAGAAGAGCTTTGACTAGCTTAATTTTATTATAATAGGGTTAATTGCTGTTTGGTGTAAATACTATATTAAAAAATTAATTAACTAGAGAGGTATTATAATTAGAAAAAATGTTGGATCCAAACAAAGTAGAACAATAAGCATCACTGACCATTAATAGGTCTCACTATATTGAAAATTTTAATGTTATAAAAATGTTTCTTTTCTTCAGTTTATATATGAATATTTTAACGTTAACTAATTTGGTTATTTAAGTGTGAAAACATATAATGTTCATTTGGTTAAAATCAAATTGATTAACCGAATTGAATTAATTTCATAAAGTTATCGCCAATCGATAGGGTTAAATATTGTTTGTTGCATGTAAGATACTGAATTCTTATCACATAAATTATTTCTCTGTTATATATATGAAGTATATCGTCGTCGACTACTTCAGTTATTTTTGTGATGAATTTGACTTGGATCCTTTGTACGGACGAGAGTTTTCATTGTCAGATTAAAATCGAAATAATCAGTTGAACTGAATTGGTTCAATTAATTGGTCGGTTATAGAGTTTGTTTGGTCGGAGAATGATTAATGAATTTCCAGTCCGTTTATTAATAAATCTGATTCAAAATTAATTAATTATTCAAAAAAAATTAAATATATATTATATTTTTCTAAACCATACCTATTAAAATTTTAAGATCCACTAGGATTTTTTTCCAATACCCCAAACAGATTAATTATTTAGGATATTGGGCCAACATGAACTTTATTTTGGAAACTATGACATTCTCTACAGTGAATACCGAACTCGTCACCTCGAGGTAACGAGTTCCTGAAAATATTATTTTTAAATTGTCTCTGTAACAATCCGGTCTATTTTCGGCCATATTTGTGCGTGGCTTCAAGTTGTACCGACATTGATTGAGGCTTTGGTCGAACGTTGGCAGCCCGAGACGCACACATTCCACTTGCCTAGTGGTGAAGCGACGATTACTTTGGAAGATATCGCTTACCAACTCGGTGTTCTTGTGAATGGAACCCCCGTATGAGTCAGAACATGTACGACCTCACATCGTTGGTCTACCAAAGTTGGGAAACATGGTTGTAATCAGAATTCCAACTGGCTGACGGGTCTACCAATGAGGAGGTTATTTTCAGGTCTCGAGCATATCTTCTCCAACTACTAAACCCGACCTAGAACTAACCCGAAATTAGGGTTGTAAGTTCAACAAAGACACCACAGAACGAGGATCGTTGGATCTGGCCACCTGATCCAACAGTCACAAAGCCCCAGGGAATACCAAGCGACCAGGCGGAGATTCCGGCCGAAAGTCCGTCACAAAGCAACCAAGGCCGATGAATCCCGGTTAAATCGGGACTGACCCATCCCGTTTAGCCGGTCAAGCAATAACCCTCAACCCCAAACAAATCGGAAAACAAGGGGCAAACAACCCGAAATAACCAAGAGTGACACCGAAGCAACCGGAAACCCCGATGGGGGGCCTATAAATACCCTGTAAAAACTAAGCATCGACAACACAAGGAGAAGCAAAGCATCACCAATCAAAACCATAAAGCAACCAATACTAAGAAACCGAAGGCAACGCTCAAAGTCGAAGGCCTCGTATCATCAAAGCATCGGAAAATAAAGAACCACCATCAAAAAAGTAAAAGGCTCAAACTTTGCGCTTAGATCTATGTCGGTGGGGTAGGTTTAGGGGTTTTTGGCCTCGGTTTTGAGCTTACGAGGATGAGGGGAATGTTTTTGGGTGGGTTTGGTTTTTTCGGCCACCGGTAGTGGTGGCCGGAGCGGCGGCCAGTGCGGTGGAGAGCCTCGTCGGAGTCGGACCGGCCATTGGCCATAAAGGCTTAGGTTGAGAGCATTTAGGGGTGTGGGAGGGATGATAGTGTGGGAGGGATGATATTTGAAGAAATGAATTGAAATGGCGATTTTTAGGTTTTTGAGGCTATTTATAGGGGGACCGAAGTGTAATTATGAAAATTTTAATTTATTTCTACAGTCCCTGCACTTTCGAAGTGTAATTCATTTTGGTCACCTGTTGTAATTTTGCCCTTAAATTTTGAATTGTTTCAATTAAATCCATGTTTAGAATTCTTATATTTACAAATTAACCCCTCCTAACTCTATATTATTTCTTACAATTTTCAAATAATATCAATTTGGTCCTTAATTATAAATTTTTGCAGTTTAACCCTTTTAATTTGAATGTTTTTTATTTGTTTTATTCTAACACTAATGTTTTAGTTAACTTCAGTTTTGATATTTCTTTTAATATAAACAATTTTTATCGATCGGAGGTAAGTAATTCGAATCGAATCTTTTAATTTTAATTTTCAGAATTAAGACAACTGATAAATTAAAATGGTACCGAAAAGGCAATTCAAGGGTGTTAATCCTTCCTTGACTGTATCCGACTCCCGAATCGACATATTTATGGTAAAACACAGATCAGGTAAGATGATAAATTAAGTTATCGATCAACATATTTTTTTTAAAAAATGATCGGTGGTGGCTCTAACGTATTTTATTTAAGTCGAAGCCCAATTTCGGGCCCATTCGAAGAACGATTGCCACAACTTGGCGACTCCACTGGGATAGGTAAGTGAGTCAGGCTAAAGTTAATTTTCGGTTGTCTTTTTAAGCGAAAATTACAAGTTTAAATTTTAATTTATTTATTTGATTCTTATTATTTCTTTGATTATTTTTCAAATAAATAGTTGTACTGACGTTTTTAGTGATTTCAGCTTTTAAAATTTTCATCTCAGGCTTTATACCCGAGCTCCAAACCCTTTTATGTAGGTGAAAGCGATGCCTTCGTGGGAATTTATTTTCTGTATAGGCAAGTCTTCGAGATTCATATACCTTATGTCTTCGTGTGAATTTATTCTCCGTATAGAAATAAGGGAATGTATCCTCTCGAGTTTAACTTGGTCCACATAAGCTTGTAATGGGCTCTAAACCAGGATACAATGAATTAGAGCCCACCCAAAACTTCATTTCAAAACCTAGGTTGCTTTGAGTTATTTCCTGCTTTATTTTATGCTCAGAGCATGTGAACTAGAAGTTTATGTGGTTAGGACCTGTTCAAAATTAACATGCAGGATAGAGATCAGGTCCGGGTAAGAATAATAAGCATGTATGTAGGACTTTTTTCATTATTATTTTGATTATTATCTTTATCTCACTAACTTTTTTCCTTTCATTTTTGTTTTGTTTTCTTTTATTTTTTCATTTACATCATTCAAAAAGAGGTGTTGATCCACAAAAATGTGTTCGTTAAACATAAATAGTTTGCATTAATGGACAAAGGGGTTGTAATGCAAGAGGTGAAAAACGCAGAGGTCTGATTATTGTCAGAAAAGATTCAGAAGGAAATGGCAGACAGTCTGCAAGGTAACTATGTGTCAGATCTGGTTAGTTATGCTTCTGTCAGCCTTAAACAAAACAATGTTCAAGAACCGCAGAGCATTTGGGACAGCTGGAAAAGCGATCAAAAATAGAAATTCTGCCAGCTGTATAGTGATATCGCACTTCTACTCTATGTCAAGATAGATGAATCCCTAATTCGAATATGGGGCATGGTTGTTTCACATTTAATCAAGAAGACATGGTACCCACAATCGAATAATATACCACTTTGTTGCATTGTGAATGAATCATAATGGACTGGGTTTACACCAAGCACATCAAAAGTCAACTTTTCAAAATGGGTCGGCAAAGGTTACAGGGGCAGATGAGAAAAAGGTTACAAGAGAGTATGTCTGGTTCAGCCATCCGGTGATACAACCAGCTGAACTGATCTCATATCAAGACCTAGAAGGATTTGGCCAAGTCATTCTTAGAATAATACAAACATGTAAATGATATGAGACTAGATCGAGTTATGTTGCAGAGTATGGAGAAGAAGCATAACGAAAGTTTTAGATAATATGCACAGAGATGGAGGGATTTAGTTGTGCAAGTTCATCCAACTTTGGATGAGAAGGAAACCAGAAAACTCTTTATGTAAACACTGAAGGCTCCTTATTTCGGGCACCTGATTGCAATCACATTTGGAAATTTTTCTGACTTAATTATGACCGAGGAAATGATATAAATGGCCATAAAACAAGGCAAGATCGAGGGAGGGAAACCAGTAAGAAACCTCCTATGAAGAAGAGGGATGAAGAGGTCAACAACATCAACACTACAACAACAAAGGTGTTACAATCTCCAACCCAAAATCAACTGCAGTTGTACTTTCAGGTACTTCTAGACAAAATTCAAGGGAACTCAGGAAAGAAAGAGAAAGGGAACATTTTTATCCAATTCCCATGACTTACAAAGAACTTTACCAGCAACTCTTTGACACTCATATAGTTTCACCATATCTAGTAGAACCTATACCCCAGGTGGTATGATGAGAACACATATTGCGAATATCATGGTTGTGCCACAATGCACACTATTGAAAACTTCCTCACATTAAAGAGGATCGTATAGAGAATATGAAACAATAATTGGATCCACTTCAAAAACTCAGGGGCACTAATGTTGTACAGAACCCTTTGCCTAACCACAAAGAAAGAGGAGTTAATGCAATTTTTAAGGAAAAGAACAAGAGAGTCAAAATAAGAGTTGTTGAAATAAAGTCTCCCCTAGCCTGGGTATAGAGACAGATGGTGAAAGCAGGTGATGCAAGCACGTTTTCAACTATAAAGGGAGTACTCTTGAACATCCTTTTAATGCATTTACTTTATAATAACCTTATAATATATACTATTATATTACATATCATGCTAAGGATATTAGTTATGAAGTTAAAGAATAACTTAGTATGAATATATCTTACACATTGTTATTTTAATATGTTAAGCATGTTAGGATAGATATATAATTATATTATGCATGATTATAACATA